TTGAAGTTCAACCTTGGTCTCAGCAAAAAGGTGATCGAGCGCCGCGCTCGAGAGGCTGTGCCTCGTAAAATAGAGGCGTTCATGGCAAACATGCGTTGTTGGTACAGCTACCCGGAGCAATTGCTTTTCGTGAACGAAACATCCAAGAATGGCCTTGATTGGATGCGTCGTTATGCGTGGGCGAAACGCGGAGAGAGAGCTGTAGTCCGGAATTCCTTTGCCCGTGGAGAACGAGTCTCAATCCTAGCTGCTTGTGGCGTTACTGGATATGAGGGTTGGCATACAACTTGTGGCACGTTTACAGGGCTGGGAGTCCACCGAGCGTTCATTGATGCAGTGCTGCCTCGCCTAAATCATTGGCCGCTTCCACGATCCGTTGTTGTAATGGATAATGCATGTACACACATGTATTATGAACTGGAGGACGCTGTTCATTCGGTTGGAGCTGTGCTGTTGTTTCTACCACCGTACTCCCCTTAATTTAACCCGGTTGAGGTCATGTTTGGTCAACTAAAGCGATGGTTGACACGGCATGCAAACTTAACGTTCCTGTTGTACCTCGAGAAATTGCTTAAGTTAGCAATGGTTGAGTGTATGAAGCGAGATGAAGTAGGAATGAATCTGTTTCGCCATTGTGGGTACGGTTACTCACGACTCCGAGAAGAAGTATTTACTCAAGACTTTGAGATGTAGCCGCGGGGAGGTGAAAGGAAGGAGAGTGGGTGGGTGGGTAGAGAATTTTCACGAGCGAAGCGAGAGAAAATTTGAATTTTGATGCATTTTGCATTACCAAGAGGCTTTCGAGTCACTCAAATGGTTTACGTACTCCATGTCGACTGCAGGCTCCCGTTGCGGCTGAAACTTTGAGAACAACCCTAAAGCAATTAAACTGTAGTTAGGCAACTGAAGTACTGTTCGAAGTTCTTCGATGTTGAAGGTGAGCTGCATGTCCCTCAATCCATTTAAGCTTACCATTAGCGTACGATAAACGCCCTCCTCCCGATCATTCTCCTGGCGTGCAGCACTCATAGCATCTGCCGAAACGTGGCACTCTCCGGTAAAGATACTCCTGCGTTGTGGGGCTGGCGAGCTTGGTTAATCGCCCAGTGTGTCCTCGCTATACCGCCTACGCGCACGTCCGATCGTTCAGCCAAATACGTGTCGATGGCATCCGCTGCCTCGGCAATGCGGGCTGGAGTCACACGACGAATGCCCTGGCGCACCTCATTCGCAGCATGCAGGAGCAGGTGCACGACATATGGGCCATCAAACGTCTTCTGTTTGTGGTAGTTGGCCCGGACTTGGACAAGCTTCCCGGACCACGTTTTGCTAGTCATCGCCACGAACTGCGCTTGCTTTGCGAGCTGACTCGGTCTCAGATATAGTTTCCTGTCGGTCCTAGTTGTTTTCGTAGTGTACTTTGTTAAAGCCGAGCTTACCTTTTCTTCAGCTAAAGGACACACCCTCTCGAAGCTACCATGTTCTTCATCAAACTCGATATCTGCATTCTCAACAGGCACACTGGTTCTGCTAGAGTGTCCAAACTCATTAACTTTATCTGCTATAGATGCGCGTGTCACTTGAGTGAGAGATGATCAAAGTGTCGACGGGTCCGGTCAGGACGACCATGGCCGTGGTTTCGGCAACCGCAGGTCCGCCCAGCACGGCGACATCCTGTCCAGATGCTACCACTACCAGCATGGATGCAACCCCAATAGCACCGACGACCATTTACGCAAACACGGTATCAACAGCAACGGGACTGTACTCGGTCAGCCCGTGTTGAAGTTGCCTTCTCATTATGCTCGCTATCACTGGCCAAGTATAAAGATAAGAGGTTGACGATGTTAGATCTATATATAATACATGTAGGACCGATGAGGGAACTGGCACTAGAAGCAGAGAGCAGACATCACTTCCCAATCTGCTATCTTCTCTCCAAGTACTAGCTCCTCAGGTCCCGGAGGCTCTTTTGGCCCCGCCATCCAGCGTTCAGTTCCTCTGTACAACTACCTTCTAGTCAACATGACGCAACGACAGGTTATGAGCCCAAATAGGGCCAAGGCAAGCGTCCGTGAGAGATCTACTCGTTTGGACGAAAGTGACCATGATGCCAGCTCTGGTGATGACGTCCAAGGACCTGACAACGTATCTGAGCACTCGGAAGCAGCTGGCTCAACGGCCTCGTCGGAGAGTGATAGCTCGAGCAGTGACAGTTCAAGCTGTTCTAGTAGTGATTCGAGCTCTAGTGATGGACGTAAGAAGAAAACGAGACGTTCCAGTAAGAAGAAGAGCTACAAGAAGAAGCGCGATGAGCGACTCTGCCGAGATAGCCCTAATCTCGAGGTTCCCAAACTCACTGGTGCAGATGACTATGAGTTATGGAGAACTATGATAGAGCTCAAGCTAAAGGTGCAGAAACTGTGGGA